CCAGAGGAATAGAAATGAAAGGTCGTCTATTCCAACTATTCAGTTGATATTTGAATACTTGCTTCAACACCCTATCAGTGCAGGATAAGTACGTTGCAAGAAACATGTGTAACATATCCAGAAAGAAGTTCAGAGCTTGACTTCAAAGTAGCTCATCTTTGAAAGGTGTTCAGTTTCTTCTCTTTTTGGTCTGAAATCAACCTTTCTATAACAAGTAACCCAGCTTCACTTATTAGGTTCACAAAGAACAGTTTCTCTTCATCATAATTATTTTTGAGATTTATAAAGACAGGAGTCCTGTTTCTTCTATGCCATGACTTTGAGTCCTTTCACTTTACCTGAAGCATAAGAGTGGGTACATAGCATTTTCTTTATACATAAAGGGAACACATAATTATAAAGAAGCAAAACAAATTATTATATCTTGGGATCTGGGACTTGGGGAAAAACATTTTAAACAAGAAAACTTTACAAAGGCAAGGTAAAATAGACATGAGTCAACAAAGACAACTCATTAACTCTGGACAGAACATAGGAAAAGTTTCTGATAAGAAAAATAAGCCAAAGATTCAGACAATAAGAAGAATCCAGAACAACATGCAACATATAATATAAATAAGGCAGAAAAATCATAGGCAAAAATGAAAAAGACAACAACAAAAGAAACAAGACAACTCCCATTAAGTAAATGACATCTGAATTTTAAAGAGAAGCAACACACATCAGATTAGTAGCAGGTTATCCCTGACCTGAGGATCTAGGAAATTATACAAGGAGGCCCTTCCCTCTGAATTTTTATACAGGGAAAAGCAGATTAAAACACCAAAGTCACCGTTTCCACTCCTCCTCTCTCTCCTCCCCTCCTCCTCCTCCTCCTCCTCTTTTCCCTCTTCTGGGGTTAGGGATAATGGTAGAGTCAGGGCTCTCCATAAAAAAACCCAACAAATGGAAAGTGTACAGGAGGGACTAACAGGAGGGACAGTTCTACAAATTTACTTTAGCAATTGGAAAGTTAACACATTTTTTTTAATTAACATTTATTGGGGTGACAATGGTTAGTAAAGTTATATAGGTTTCAAGTCTACAATTCTGTAATACATCATCTATATATCACATTGTGTATTCACCACCCAGAGTCATTTCTCCTTCCATCACCATATATTTGACAGTTGACACATTGTTATAATGAAAAAAAAAAAATTAGCACCAAGTAAAAATGTTTTCCTGCTTCTCTCCTGTGCTGAGTCATACTACTCAGTCATCAGTAGCCCAGCTCTGGGCAGTCTTCAAGATTCCCTGTGCCCTGGAGAGGGACCTCTGATAACTTCAGTGCACAGACTCTGCCATACTTATAGGAAACACTGTCTCACAGTGACCACACTGCTACTGTTCTGTTCAACCCATCAATCAAATATCCAGCTTGAGGCAGCATCAGCTACGCAAGCCAAAATGAAGGGCGTGGACACGGAGCAATACAAAATGAATGTAGACAAGAAACGAAATCCAGAAACTCAACGGGGTAATCTCTTCTCACCGAGATTAAGAACATCCCAGCCCCAGGTGGCGAGTGGTGAGAGGCTGAGGAGCATTCATCAGGCCATGCAGGCGAGGTCAGCTCTGATTACTCCTGGGTAGATGGGTTTACTGATTTCGGTGGCTCGTGTCCAGAATTACATAACAGGCACAGAGGCCTAAAGGGGTGAGGATGACCCGGAAGAGCCCTGTGCCTCCCGCCTGCTCACAACGTACAGATTCCGCTCGAACCATGTGTGCTGCTGCCCTGGTGGACTCATTGCAGGGGAGGGATTTGGGGAGCGCCTCGCAGCGTGCAGAGATTCTTTCTCCAACTAAGCCACTGCCGCACGCCATTACCCTGCGGAAGGCTCTTTGTGAGACCTTGACCCAGGCAGCCGAGAGGCCACCAGATGGCAGCAGAGGACACAGCCTGGGGCACAAGACCTGAACCATCTGCAAAAGCAGATATTTTATTTGGGAAATATCATCAGTTATCTATAATCATGAAGTCAAGACCAGAATACCAAAGAAATGAGGGTAAAATTCAACACAGAGGATTTCCCAACCACCGCAAAATTCGGCTGCATACGAAGCCACATATGAATCCGATAGTTCTCCAATGCTTAAAGCAAGGGATAGGAGTCAAGGCCTTTGAAAACTGACATCAGCAGGAACCTGGTCACAGTCACTTCTTTCTGTGAAGTTCCACTGGGCAGCAATTTAAGTAAAATATGAGTAACTTCCACAGAGGCTGCCAAAATGATGAAGTAGATACAGTGGTTGCTGGGTAGCATTGCAGCAAAGCAGAGCAGCTAGGGACCCTGGCGCTATGCAGTGTGGAGCGGGGAATAATGAGGATCACAGGACAAGCCTCAATCTTCACTTGCAGCTGGCAGAGGCTAATGCACAGGAAAGGGGCATTAGTAGCACTGGGATTAATCTCCGATCTTTTGACTTCTCATCTAATGCTCTTTTCCTTACATATCTGCCCCTCTCCCAGTTGTTACTACCCACAATGTCTCTAGACATTGCCAAATAACCTCGGGGTGGTAAAATACCCCTCCTTAATAAACAACGCCATAGAGGGTTCTGAATAAAAAAAGTTTTAAGAATGTAATGTTCAACCTCTCCAAGATTTGAATTTCAGAAGAGGCCTCGAAGGCCTACAAAAACTGTTATTGCACATCTAAAATCGGCATTCCCACCATGTTTATATAAGGGAGCAGCTATAATTGAAGGACTATAGGCTGAATCTGGTCCTCAATTTTAAAAAAATTAGTTATTGACATTTTAAAATCAGATTTCACGTTTAGAAGTCAGAATTTCTGACTTGTATAGGAAAATTGGAGCTATGACAATACCAGACCCATAGTCCCACACGGCAATAATTGGATGGAGCTGAGGGGTGGGGGGGTAAAGTCATTAAATAGAATGAGTGCTCTCTAGTTTGCCACAGTCCCCACGACTGCATACCCTATCTGTGTCACTCATTTACACTACTCTTTATCCTAAAGGCAATTTATTTTCAGCCTCCAAAGTGCTTCATAGTTTTATTTTTCCATGTGTGATTTTATTTTAGCCTTAATAACTCCAGTAGGGTAGAGGATAAATACTATGATTATTATCTACATGTAAGCAAAATGTAGTTCAGAGAGGTCTGACTTGCCCAAACTTACACAACAAAACCAGAGTCTAGATTTCCTGACTCTCAGTTCTATTATTTTTTTGGGGGAAAGTTTCTATTAAGAACTTCATTTAGTGGTTCATGGAACAAAACCAAAGTAGATATGGGTATAACTGCTAGAACAGATGAGTTCCAACTGCTAAGCTGTTCAAGAATCACTGCTAATGATTACCTCTTCTTTCAGTGAGTATTTCTGCTTCCCTTAGCCTTTGAGGCAAATGAAAAGACTGCCCATGTCTTGAAGTTGGGTGTGGTTATATGACTTGTTTTGGCGAATGAAGTCTGAGCGGAAGTGATATGTGTCCCTTTAAGGCAGAATAATTTAAGAGCCTATGAACAATTTTTCATGCTTTTTTGGGGAGAGGGTTGACTCTAAGCCTCATGGTCATGTGGTAGGATCTAAAAGCGGTGGAGTTCCATCTGCTTGGGCACCTGAATAGCTTATAATGAACAGAAACCCCTGTCGGACTACTCTTGACATGTAGTGTGAGAGATAAACCTTTGTGGTTTTAAGCCATTGAGATTTTGGCATTGCTACCACAGCATAATCTAGCCTAACCTGACTGATACAGGTTCATCTGCATGGTTATTGAATTTCTCCATGAATTGGAATGCAATTTCTAGAGTTCCGATCATCTCACTAAAAACCATTGCTCCTATCTGGAAGATAGTGAGACTGAACTGTTGACTTTCTAGCCAGTTTCCTCATCTACACCCACCTCTGACATGGAAATTATTTTCTGAGTACTTCGCACATGAGCTCTCCATTATTCCAGCAGTTAGACTGGGAGAAGGGGGAGGCCCATATCTTGTTTTTTCCATTCCAGAGCCTAATCCCAGAACTGTCCCCACCCACTAGTACTCACACAACCTTGTCATAGGGCGACTATTACCACTCCCAAGGTGTCACACACAGAAAGGAGTTGCCGCTGGCACCACTGCAATGCTAGGGCAAGGCAGCCAGGCTGCGCTCTTCCCTCACTGGTGTCTGGGCTTGGCTAAACCAGAAGCAACGTTCTCTAAGGGAAAGAAGCCTTCTCAAGTGGGAACAAAAATGAGTGTGAGGCGCACACCCATCCTGGGCTCTATGTGAATTTGGGGTGAGTTCTTTGAGTACTCCAGCTCTGGTCAATTTCTAGTTTCTCTGGCGGCTAGTTAGGTAGCCCGGTTTAGTATGACTGGGCCTCCCAGTTTTCCTGGGCTTTCCATCTTTTACCTGAGCTTGTCATCTTTGCACACTAGCAAAGGTCATACACGGTGGGGGGTTGTGCGCAAGCAGAGCTTCAGCCACCGGATCGCAGCCGGGATCAAAGGTCGGCGGGGCTGCCGAAAGGCTGAGCCTGCGCAGTCCTGCTCCCGTTTTGGAGAGAAGGGGTGGCGGCAACGCGGGCTCGTTACACCCGCGTGCTCACAAGAGGCGGGAAAGTCTTAGGTTGGGTCGCCGCGTCCCTCCCTCTTCCTGCCCCGTCCACCGTCTGCCCAGCGAGCTGGTCCTCCTCAAGCGCCCAGGCTCTGGGGGAGGGGGACGAGAAGAGCCCGGGGATTCTGACTCATCATCTCCAACCCCTTTCTCGCGCGCGCTCCAAGTCTCAGGACTTTGGACCTGGGCACTGTAAGAGGGGTCGCGGCGACAGCATCTGGGGAATCCCAGCTCTGCCCAGGGTCAGCCCCCAGCCCCTGCTTGTCTCCGAAGCTGGCAGAGGGAGGGGTGTTTAGCCACAGTCGGCTCTCAGTTGCTGAGGTTGGGATGGCGGCGCCCCTGCGCAGAATAACCCGCCCGGCTCCTCCCTAAACGCGGGGCCAGTGGTCGCGTCCGAGGAAACTCGGCTAGGCCCGGACTTCCAGCACCTCGCGTCACTTAGCAGATGCACAGCGCCCCCGCCGCGGAGAAAAGGCTCTTTATTTCCCAGCAGGCCACGGGGTAGCGGGGCATCCTGGGACTTGTAGTCTCCGCTAAAGTAGACAGGAACCGGATCCGAGGGAGGAGAAATAAAGCACCCATGAATTGATTTCAGAGAGTGGGCAGGCAGGGGAACCCTGGATTGGAGTGGATGGGATTGTGAAAGGTGAAAAGAAGAAAAGTAGTGAGATGAAGCAGATGTTAAGCTGTATGGGGAGGCCATGGGGAAGGATGGAAGGGAAGAAGAGGGTATAGATGAAAGTTGGTTTAAGGATGCCCTCCAGGCGGGCAGTTTTTCAGGGCAGGGAGAAGAGGGAAGGCTCTGGTCTAGGTATAGCTTCCCTTAGAAGAGAAAGGGGCCTAGTTTGAGTGAAAACTGAAGGCATTCCACCGGACTTCATGTAGATCTCAAGGGACTCCGTTTAGCTTCCGAATTTGGCGGAGTGGGGTGCAGGAGGGTCTGGAGAACGCTACCAGAGGGTAGGAGAGCAGCATCTGCCTGCTTCCCTTGCCAGCTCACTCATTTGTTCCGTTTGCTGTGCTAGCCATTGTGGGACGATTCTCCGAATCAGGAACTTCCTCCAACTCAGAGAGACCCTGAAAACCAGACAGAGGTGTGAAGGGAGTAAACTGTAGGGGTGAGAAAGGAGGAATCCCAGACAGAAGCAACTTCCTCCTCCCCTCTCATTTTTTTCTGGTGTACCCATAGTCCTTCCAATACTTAACCAGCTTCCTAATGTTCTCCCACATTTCTAGTGCCAACTCTTTAGTTACCCAATTCCCTCTTATCCACCACTAGGGGAGAATTGTCCAAAGCCAGAAAACCAACCAGTCTCAGTCTAGGATCCCTTCCTTGCCTCCTTGCCCCAAATGAGCTGCTAGCTTTCTGCTCCATACTTCCCTCCCTGCCTTCAATACCTCCTGCAGCTCCTGGTAGTGAAGACTCTGGCTCCTGCAGCATCCTGGCTTCCTCTGGCTCAGCAGGAATAGGGAGTATGCTGAGATCAAAGCTCCTCCTAGGGTGAAGGCCTCAGTGCTGATCTCTAGCACCAGCAAGCTGTTCAACTGCAGGTAGACAGGGCTGAGGGTGCTGCAGGGGACCCAGCACCTGTTTGCCCCTGCCCTTTCCCCTCTCCAACTCCTCTTGCCTCCTCATTCTCCCACCTTCTCCTTTATTCACCCATACCTGGGAGGGAGCAGTTGGGGCAGGCCCCAAGGCTGTCTTCATCACCTCGACCACCACCACGATGAAGCCAAAGATCAGATTGAAGGTGTTGAATATCATCATGGCCCGTACCTGCCAGTAAGCCAGCTCAGTAGTGCCCAGCCTAGGGAACTCATTGCAACCCCAAGCCCCATCTGCACCTTGCCAGAAAAAAAAAAAACTCAGCTCTTATTCCTTTACCTCCCAACAGGGCGATCATCCCTTTAACTTTTTTGCTTTCCCTCCTCAGTCTTTTAGGCCAGTCGGGGGCAGAGAGCTGACAGGATCAGTCAACACTTAGAAAGCCACTTCCTGGGCTGAGGAGTATGTGTGTGTGTGTGTGTGTGTGTGTGTGTGTGTGTGTGTGTGTGTGTGTGTGTGTTGGGGGGTGAGAGTATAGTATTGCATTCTTTTCCCCTTTCACCTTCCAGAGGCGGGGTGCTCTGCGCAGCTCAAGAGTAACAATCCCAGCGAGGAGACCCTGAATGGTGAGAAAGGCAAATGTTGAACTCTGGCATCATTAGTGAAGAGCCCCTAGGACCTTCTACCCTCCCTTGTGGTAGATCTTACCAATGCTCCAGGTCCAAGCGGTAGTGCTGTGGCCATGTGGCAGTCAGAGTTCAGGCAGGCAACTGAGACAGCAAAAGGCACCACAGCCACTGTCAACCATAGCTGGCTCACCTGGAGGCCAGAGGCAGGGTGGTTGAAGGGGATTCTCAGGGATTCCCTACCCTTCTCCAAACCCCTGCTTCTTGCAGAGATCAGCAATTGGCAGGAATGTGTGGTGGTGGAAAGCAGTGAAGGAAGGGGATATTATTTAATTTGTTCTGCCTTATGTCATAGTTTAGTTACTTACCTATGTGTTTTCCCCACATGATGGAAGCTACTTAGAGATTAAGGGTCTTGCTTTATTTATCCTATGCTTCCTCCACCCTCCTCCCACTCATAGCTTAGCAGTTTCAAGTACATGGTAGATGCTCACAAAACATGGATGGAATTGAATTGGGGTACAAATGGACATGCTGAAAGCTCAGGATGGGGCATCTGGCCTCACCGCCAGCACCAAGAGGTGCCCACTCTGTCTGTGCCTTGCCCAGTGTTGTAACTTTTCCAGACGAAGGCTAGGTCTCTCCTGCTCTTGCTGACCAGCTCTGTCCTCCATGGGTCCCTTGACCACTGAAGCTTGGTGCTTTCCTGGAAAATATATTACGGCACCTATCAGGAAACAGGACATGCGGAAACATCTCTTTCAGCTGTCCCTCTGCCCGCTTCCAATATCCAGAGAATTGAGTCTCAGAGCCTTTCACCTACCTTGTCTGAAGCAGCTACTCCAATGATATGGGACCCAGTTAGACCTGGAGCTCCTGGCGGGGCTTGGTAGCTCAGAGCAGACAGCTTGTCAGGGTTGGGGTGTGGTGGGGCAAAGGTCCCTATGAGGGACTAAGGATCCAGGGAGTGGCTGTGGGTAGACACCAGTTCACTCCATAAGACGCCCAGTCCTGCCTGTCTCTGCGCCCATTTCCTGTTGCCCCCATCTCTGTCCATCTTGGGTTCCTCTACTGATCACTCAGCCATTGACACTACCACCCTGGGCCCCAATTTCCCCCCATTCCCATCTAATATATCTCCTTTTTTTGGCTTCCGCTTCCAATTGCTTGCTGTTTCCTAAGGCAATCCCACTTTACTGTCTGGATTGGTACCCTGTCATTACCACTTGCAGCTTTGTCCCAAGACCAGGCAAGATTCAATTCCCCTGGCTTCCTCTCTCACTTTCTGGATGGTTTCTGCTCTCTCCACCCTTTGTTGAAGGATTTACTTTGGATGGGACACTGAAAGTGAATGAGGCATCCTATTTATAGTGGGGATTGTTTTTGACTCAGTGATAACCTGCAGCTAAACATGTATAGAAGATAGACCCCAAATGATCATTCTTGGGAAGGACGCTATCGCAACAATATTTTTGAGAGATACAAGTTGCCTTGCAACCAGGCCAACCTGAACTAAAACCTCAGCGCTGCCACTTTTCCAAGCTGTGAGACCTTGGATACATTATTCTACCTATTTGAACCTCAGTTTATTCAAACTGAGTGATCAAACGGGGGCTAATAATATGACTGTAAAAGGTTGTTGACTCATGGTGAGTTCTTAGTAACTGTTAGTGGTGCTGATGAGGTCATACTGTTGTGCCTGATGCCCATACACTAAAGGGCTTATTCAGAAGCTAAGCTGGGGATATTTATTTCTACAGTAAGAAGCAGAACCAGCTGGGCCCAAATATGTACTCTAGCATCAAAAATAGGAAAGGCCCATCTTTGGTGTAGAGCCTGAGGTCTGGAGGCAACCAGACCTCTATGTTCAAATCTCAGATCTACCTGGGTAACTGTGTAAATTGCTAATCTCTGGGTTTCCTTACCTGTAAAAGGAAGCTAATAATACCGTTGCCTTGAGTATTAAGAGAAAAAATGTATATGAAACAGCTCAGCCCAGCACCTGGCACATAGTGCTCAATAAATATTAGTGGATATTATCATTATTACTATTGATGACAGAAAGAAGACTGAGCCAGAAGACTCCTGAGAGTTAGTACCAGGAGGCATGGTCCTAGGAGGCAAGTGGCCTTTTTTGGAAGCCACTTCTGCCCTGCTCAGTGCTGGGCAACCCTCTTTGGAGCATTGTGTCCACTCGTCTTTCCTGGGGAGTGGGAATCACATTTAAAGGGATCTGAACTATTGTGTATCTACTCCCTCCTCCATCCCCATGTGCATTAATTTTACTTAGTGGTGATGGCCTGACAGAATGTGAGATGTTGGCTTGCACTGAGGATCCCTGAGCTGGCAGGCCAGTGAGAGATACTCTTCAGCTTCATTTTCCTTACTTGTAAATGCAGACTAATTATATTTCAGAGTATTATGGTAAGGATTATATACTATTAAATATGTGAATAGGCATTTAGTAAATATTAATTCTGAGTATTCTACTTACACATTTGTAACCCCTGTCTAGATTACAATCTCTTCAAGGGAGGGTGGTACATCCCCCTCATCTGTTCATCCCCCACAGCGCCGAGCATAGTGCTTGGTCCTTAGTAGACACTCAGTAAATATTTGTTGTATTGAAGAGCCATTAAAGTGACTTAAGGAATGGAAAATAGAATTCGAGAGGAAGGCGTAGGGATTGTTTATCAAGAACAGAAAGGACCGAAGAGTAACTTTAATAATGTTTCTTATACGGCAGACATTAACTATCTCTATAGTCGCCCCTCCTCCTCCCCCAAAAGAGAGACAGAAATTGTAAGGGAGAGGCTTTGAGATAAAACCCCAGGAAGAACTTCCCGAGTCTGTGCATGTTGGGGCAGAAAGCGCGGCAGAGCCAACTCCTTCCCTGGTATGTCCGGGTTTGGGGTGGGAGGGGCAGCGCTGCTCGGAGGCTGGGGGAAGGACGAGATGACCTTTCAAAATCTCTTCCAGTCCCCTGTAGGAATCGTCTGTGCGCCCCACCCCCCGTCCTCCCTCCCTCCCTCCGACAGCGCCCCCAGTCTCCAAACTACCCGCACCCCGCCCCTGGCGGCCGCCTCTCGCGGCTCCCGGGGTCCCCAGCTCCCTGTCCCCGGAGCCAGAGCCTAGCTCCCGCTCCCGCGCGGCTCCCAGCCCCGCCGCGCCGCCCCCCGCATGCTAATGGCCGGGCCGCCTCCCGCCGCACACAATGCGGGCCAGGGCCGGGGGCGGGGGACC